ATGTTTTGGAAATGATGATGGCAACATATGTTCAAATGTGCTTGATACAATTGATGTATGGGGTGTTAAAAGAGCTGTAAGAGCCCCCAGTAAAAAGATTATAAAAAACAAAACTGGACAATTTTTTTTAAAAAGGCTGAACAAAAGTTTAGCTTAACTAGTAAAAAAAGGTTTGTTTTGAGCATTAAGCACTTTTTCAGAACTATATGGTATCAAATTAACAACAGAAACTGGAAAAATTAGACCGGAATTTTAGGGAGTAGTAGAATTCAAAAAGTTAAAGAATGGTTACAGAACTCTTAAGAACGTAATTAATGCCACTCAATTGTACATAGAGAAACTGGTGATGTATGTTTTGTATATATTCTCAACAACAAAAATCAATCAATGCATTTTAAAGGGGGAAAAACCTAACTAGTCTGGCAGTCAGGCTTTTAAGCTACCCCAGAGCCTAGGCTCTTGCGTTACCTTGCATCTCATTATTGTCATTAAGATTGAACAGTAAGTACTGTGCTTGCCATGAAGGACTGTATTTGAGGAAGACTCCTGGGCCCTTACTATGACATGTTTTGAGCACTTTGGCATTCAAACTCAATACCGTTAAGTCCATTCTGACTCATAGTGACCCTGTAGGGATGCTACAATGCCCTTTGGGTTTCCGAGGATGTCACTTTGGGGGGAGTAGAAAGCCTCATCTTTCTCCTGCAGAGCAACTGGTGGTTTCGAACTGCTCACCTTGTGGTTAGAGGCTCAATTCATAACCCACTTCACCACAGGATTCCATGTACTTAGCATTGGAACCTTCATATCCTCCTACTTATCACTGAACACCTTCATGAAGTATCTTATTCTCCTTTTTCGGATCCAGCACTGAGGCTTAGAGATTGGTGTGCTCAGTGGTTAGATGGGGGATAGTGAGCTGGGGTTCCACCCACCATTTCCCTTCTAGAGTCCATGTTAGTCAATACAGAAGGGCAGACATATTCGAATTGCATGAATAAACAGTTCTCAGTTGCTAATTGCTTTCATGCTGTGCAAATTTCAGATATTT